CATCCTTACCCCATGTGGCGAAATCATGCATGGAGCTCCAGACCGAGGGCGATTGATGGTTATTTTGTACTTCTTCCATTTGCGAATAATCGCTCCAACAGTTGTCTCCTCACCAAGCTTCTTGCTGATGGTTTTTGTAGCCCATTCCAGCCTTGTGCAGGTCTACAATCTTGTCCCTGACGTCCTTTGACAGCTCTTTGGTCTTGCCTATGGTGGTGCCCAAGAAAGAAATTCTGTGGACAGGTGTCTTTTTTATACACTTATTGAGTAGTCGTTAGGAGCACCTTCTTCAATTGACAGGACTAATCTGTGTACCCCATGAGCACATAGCCAGTCTGTGGGAGCCAGAATTATTGTTGGTTGGTAGGGGATCAAATACGTATTTTACTCACTGAACTGCAACTCAAATTATAACATTTTATATCGTGTTTTTTCTGGATTTTTGGTTGATATTCTGTCTCTATCATTTAAAGTACACCTATGATAAAAAATGATAGACCCTTCATTTCTTTGTAAGTGGGCAAACGTACAAAATCTGCAGGGGATCAAATAATTATTTTCCTCACTGTATACTGAAAACAGACACAAATCAGTTTATTCTTTGAAGAGATTAGACATAGTGTTACAGTTTTCATACAATAAAGTAGAAAACCTGGAAGTAAGGAATGAGATTAAATTTCCATGTGTGAACTCATTCAGACCAGAGATAACAACATTTAGTCTAGTCCCTGCGAAGGAGGGGTTGGTACAACATGCTACACCCAGTCCTTCTGCCCCCCTATGGTGACTGTGGGAAAGTGGGATGAGCCAGATACATAAAGTACTGAGCTGGGTATTGTCACAGCAGAGCTGTGTGTGAGAGTCAGAGGAGGAACACAAGTCAATCAGGTAAGGTGAAGCTTTGTGCATGTGTGTGCATGTCTGTCATCTGTGTGCTTCTTTGTGTCCGGGTGTCTGCCAACAGCAAAAACAGGAAAATGCTGGATATTTCCTAGAAATTGCCATAAAAGTTCTGCAGAGCTGTACATGCTTTTATAGTGGAAGTCAGTCCACCAGTACATCTTACTATGCAATGGCTTGGCTTGATCTGTTCCTGGAACTGCTTATCAATGATCTTTCAGGGTGGGGGGAAATCGTTGCCTGCTCAGACCTGTACATTTTTAAACTGGTCCCCGTAAAGCCTAGTACACACGATGAGAAAATAGAACGAATGATCGTTCCTGTTTTTTTGCATGCTAGTCTCATCTCGAATATGGGAGTGCAATTAAGCGTATGAAAATTTGCGTATGTCCAGTACAATCTGTGTGCGCAGCAGCGTGAAATCCCAAGTGATATCATGCACATGCTTATCAAATTGTAGCAATATGATTATCACATCGGTATTGCTATTGATATAACTTTTGTATTTAGGAGCATTTATTTATTTCAGGTACTTATATAGCGCCGTCAATTTACGCAGCGATTTACATATATATTGTACATTCACATCTGTCCCTAACCCTCAAGGGGTGTACAATCTAAGGTCCCTAACTTACATTCATACATACACATACTAGGGACAATTAAGACAGGAGCCAATTAACCTACCAGCATGTCTTTGGAGTGTGGGAAGAAACCGGAGTACCCGGAGGAAACCCACACAGGAACAGGGAGAACATGCAAACTCCAGGCAGGTGGTGTCATGGCTGGGATTCGAACCAACGACCCTAGTACTGCCAGGCAGAAGTCTTAACCATTTAGCCACTGTGCTGCATTTTCATTGTAAAGGATGATTTTTGTGGCTTTTTCTCCATCCGTGTGGTTTTTTTTTTTTTTTTTTTTTTTTTTTTTTTTTTTTTTTTGCACAGTAGTCTCATATCAAAAATGAATAGATTACAAAAATTCTCCTAAGACAGAGTACATCTTTCTGCGATGATGTAATATATTGTATTGTAATGTATTCTTTTGTTCCCGAGCATTCGCAGTCTGGGTCACCTATTATTTTTACGGACAAATACTGTACTCAAACAAAAAATTTTGTTCCGTTCTCTTACGAGAAACATTTTCTTGCGTGTCCCTTTTTATTATTATTTTGCATGCATCGTCTTGATCGACTCGCGAAAGCTGTGTACGAACGGTCAGATTATTGAACTATTTCTCCAAAAGTGTGTTTTGTGTTTTTTTTTTTTTTTTTTGTTTTGTTTTGTTTTTTTTGTTTGTTTTTTTTTGTTGGTTTTTTTTCCTGATTGTCTCATAGTTATGCATTTATTCTTCATTTAGTCTCCAGTCACAGTGGGTGTGACTTGGCATGTGATTTGCATGCCATACGACTTGCAAACTGCATGGCAAGTCACGCCCTATTGTCTGCAATTACTGGGGTCATATCAGTGTGGTTGCTGACTTGGTTGGAGCTGCACTGTATTCTATGGTAGTGATGCACTACTTTTGGTGCAATTTGGATAGACATCTGTGCCAAATGTCTTGCAAATCGCATCCCAAATTGGCATGTCATCCGACTAAATCCTGCATCTTCACTGTAAGTCGCATGATTTCTAAGTCGGAATCAGTGTTACCGGGTTGTTAGACATGTGTTTGGGGTGGGCAAAATGCTCAATTAAGCTGCGTTTCTTGCTGCCTGAAAACTGCCCCCCCCCCCCCACCCACACACCAATCACACCAGTGCAATTTCAGGTGTGACTTCTTAATTTAAATCACATCTAGTGAATGTGAGTGTCCCGTGTCCTTTTTTAACGTGTAATTTGCTGCAGTGCAATTTCTAAAGTAGTTCTTGCATTACTTTTTCTGCAGTTTTGTTGCAATTTCACATACATTGAGTATAACGGAAATTGCAAGAAATTGTTGAAAATTTTTGCAAGTAGCAATAAAGTCTTCAGAAATCGCACTTGAAATTGCACACAAATCGTGTGATTTTTAATCGCAGTGGTGTGATTGGTGACTTAAGCTGCAGTAGGCAGCGGACGGGGGTGATTGACAGGAACGCTACATATTCAAGCAAATGCAGAACATGGATTGGGCTTCAAAGAAAGGATATTTAAATGCACATCTAAATCTACCCAAATCGTTCCCCAAAGCGTTTGTTGTTTGTTTGTCTTTTTTTTTTTTTCCCATTTTGGCTAATTGCAAAATCTGCAAACTAGATTCAGTTACCATTTTCTGTAATGCCAATAATGATATCCAGATAAACAATTCTGCCTAATATTAGTTATAATAAACATAAATGCACGAAACAAAACTGCATGGATATCTGACGTAAATTATTGGGGCTATAGCGATGCGTATTGTAATATTGCATGTGAGACATGCCAGCTGGAATGACCCTGGGAATAATTTGAAAGCATTTGGATCTATAGGGAAGAGGTGCATTTACTATACAAGCATCTTGTTGTCCATTTAAGTGGTGTAGTGGGGGCAGTACACAACAAGCAGCCTACAGATGATACAATTTTCTTTCCTTCTTCCCAAGAAAATCATTTGATTTTCCCCCATCAACACAGTCAGTATTTGATAGGGAAATTCCCTCACTCAGTGCTCTTGTGTTCTGCTGTCGAGGAGCTTTCCTGGAAGGCAAAACACAATGTTCATTGCTGGTGGCTTTAGCCACCGGTAGTGATCGCATGCAAAAAAATTTGACTGGCTGGATCAATGGATCGACTTCAGCCTGCCCACAGATGGGCTGAATCTCGGCCAGTCCCAGCTGAAGCAGCCAAGATTTGATCCATGTATGGCTAGCTTTAAGTTTTTGGTTTGAGCAAGTGCAGGGGGGTTACCACGCATCTCATTGATTTCAATGGGCTGTCCTACATGAGAGAAATATGGAAAATATTTCCCTGACTCTTTTCCCTGGCACCATGCAGTTTGGCGTGCTTTTCAAATGTGTGGGGTTCCATTACCAAATCACGGCTCCACCGCAAGTCTGCTATAGGGCAACACATTTCTTTATGTATCAGGAAAACACGCATGTTCCCGGCACACACTGAGGTGAACATAGCCTTGGTTTTTTTGGAAAACTATAAAGCCAAATGTAACACAAATGTAGGTGTCTTGATGGGGAGGGTGGTGTGAGCATTTTAGTGGCGTATTTACAAAGATGCATTTTGCAGGGGTATAGGAACCGTGCTTAAAGTGGATTTGTTAAATTCCCATTTTCATTGCTGTTATCAGCAGTGAATAGTTACCGTTACTTTGTATAGTTTTTAGAAATGCTGCGTGTCTAAAGGCTTCCATGCATGGCTTCATGGCCGTGGATAAGTGGGTACCACCATTCCTCCCTTATGGGGCCCAGACCAGCAGGGGGCCCAGGCAGCTGGGTGAATCGGATGTAGGCAGGGTGGGTGATGGGTATGATGGAGTGGCAATTACTGGAACCGATCCCCCTGCATGGCTCTCTCAGCAGCAGCTGAAAGCCAGCTTCTTGTCCGCCTGTTGGTTTTCAGCTGCTGCAGAGAAAAGCCATACAGGGGACCAGTTCCAGTAATTGCCCCCCCCACCACACCCATCACCCTCCCTGGTCACCACATATTTCCCCCTACTGCCAGGCCCCATGTGTAACCACAGTGCTGCCGGCTTCCCTCCTCTCCTTTCTCTCCTTCCCACTGAAAGCTGCAAGCATACAATAGGATCCTCTAACTGAAGCATAGTAAACTGTGTTTTTTTTTTTGGGGGGGGGGGGGGGGGCTGTGCCCTGTGAGGTTGGCTGTATGGGGCCCTGTGGTTTCTGAAACCAGCCCTGCATGGCTTGATATATGGGCCAAATTAAAGAGATGGGTGCCCCTATTGACACCATCCGGCTCAACAAAAGTCGATTGTTCAGTTGACTTTTATTGAAGAGGGTGGGTGGAAAATTGTGGGTCAATGTAGGCATTGTTTGGGTATTCAGACGGCCGCTGGGGCTGGCTGTCAGAGTACAATAGCCAACAGGGAAGATTCCTCCATCCCACTGAATGGAAGTACCGTATTTTTCGCTCCATAAGACGCACCTGACCATAAGACGCGCCTAGGTTTTAGAGGAGAGAAGCAAGAAAAAAATATTCTGAACCAATGGACTGCAGACATAGTATAGGAGATGACCAGAGACTGCAGATTGTACAGTAGATGACCAGAGACTGCGGACACAGTACAGGAGATGACCAGAGACTGCGGACACAGTACAGGAGATGACCAGAGACTGCGGACACAGTACAGGAGATGACCAGAGACTGCGGACACGGTACAGGAGATGACCAGAGACTGCGAACAGTACAGGAGATGACCAGAGACTGCGGACACAGTACAGGAGACGACCAGAGACTGCGGACACAGTACATGAGACGACCAGAGACTGCGGACACAGTACATGAGACGACCAGAGACTGCGGACACAGTACATGAGACGACCAGAGACTGCGGACACAGTACATGAGACGACCAGAGACTGCGGACACAGTACATGAGACGACCAGAGACTGCGGACACAGTACATGAGACGACCAGAGACTGCGGACACAGTACATGAGACGACCAGAGACTGCGGACACAGTACATGAGACGACCAGAGACTGCGGACACAGTACAGGAGACGACCAGAGACTGCGGACACAGTACAGGAGACGACCAGAGACTGCGGACACAGTACAGGAGACGACCAGAGACTGCGGACACAGTACAGGAGACGACCAGAGACTGCGGACACAGTACAGGAGACGACCAGAGCCTGCGGACACAGTACAGGAGACGACCAGAGACTGCGGACACAGTACAGGGGATGACCAGAGACTGTGGACCTTTGAGGAGGGAGGGGGAGTGGGTACCTGAATTTGACAGGTACCCGCTCCCACTTCCGCAGAGTTGTCCTCTCTTTAGTGTGGGAACCCGGCTGTGACAGCCAGGTGCCCACTGCGCATGCTTGAGAAGCGCTGTGCTTTGTGAATGGCCTGGCATCTTCTGGGACACATGACAGGTCCCAGAAGACGCCGGGCCATTCACAAAGCACACTGCTCCTCGCGCATGCGCAGTGGGCACCTGGCTGTCACAGCCGTGTTCCCACACTAAAGTTGCCGGCGCGGGAAGACTGTACAGCGCTGGACCAAGGAACAGGTAAGGTCCTGCTGCAGAGAAGAGCTGAGCGGCCGGCCCGGTATTCTGACATGGTGTCGGCGGCGGAAATACCGGACCGGCTGCTCCATATTCGCTCCATAAGATGCACTAACATTTCCCCCCCTTTTTTGGGGGGAAAAATGTGCGTCTTATGGAGCGAAAAATACGGTACCTGTTAGACTTGTATGAAATTGTATGAAAATTTTCTGTACAAGCAGCGATCGTCCGATAATCTGATCGTTAGTACACAGCTTTTGAGGGCCAATCATGACCGTTCATGCGACAATATCTGAAGGGACAAATGCGAAAATTGTTCTTGTATGATACCAGAAAAAGAGAATGATTTACGTTTAATCAGTACAGTGGTTGCCCGGAAAAAAAAAAATCGGAAGACCAAGACCGCGTATGCTCAAAGACGACAGCATACATCACGTCCCACGTTGTATTCTGTCATACGAGAATTTTCGTAACTTTAGTAACCTCTTTATTTTCGATTTGAGACTAGCAAAGAAAAAAAAACGATCATTCAATCGATAGTCTCCTCATGTGTATGGGGTCTTAGACTAAACAAAAGAAATCTAGGTGTGTGTGGCCAGCTGAAGGGTGATAAATGCTCTTTAATATAGACGCTTCCAATGACGACGACTCCATAAAGTGGACATTTCTGAACCTGTTTTGAATTTCTGATATTGGGTATTATAAGAACAAACTTTGAAACTTTCATGTGATTACCAGATTAGGTAATAGAAGGTTTACAAGAGATATTCTGCAATATCGTTAAATGGAGAAACTAGACCAGAGGTCGGGACTCTGTGATCGTCCGCTAACCTGACCGGGAGAGACCTGTGTGTAAACAACACCAGTCTCTCTCCTGTCAGCAAGGACATGCTGCTTTGTATCTCTACAGATGCAAAGCAGCATGTCTCCTAAGTAAAACAGCACACAGTTAACCATTTGATCGCCCCAGATGTTAACCCCTTCCTGCTCAGTGTCAGTGATTTTTGTTAGCACTGATCACTGTATTCGTGTCAGTGGCAGTTAGTTTCCCCCCAGTGTCAGAATGCCCAACGCAGTACTGCTATAAGTCGCTGATCGCCGCCATTTTATTTAAAAAATAAAAATTCCAGTATCTATACCGCCATCTGTAAACGCTATAGCTTTCAAGTAAACCAGTTAATTTACATGTATTGGGATTTTGTTTAGCAAAGACATGTAGCAGAATACATTTTGGCCTAAATTTTATGAAAAAAAATTTTTTTTTTTTTTAATTTTTTTTTATTGGATATGTTTTATAGCAAAACGTCAAAAATATTGTTTGTTTTTGTCAAAATTGTTGGTCTTTTTTTGTTTATAGTGCAAAAAAAATGTAGAGATGATCAAATACCACCAAAAGCTTGCTCTATTTGTGGAGAAAAAAATGACATACATTTTCATTTATGTAAAGCGTTGCATGACCGTGCAAATGTCAGTTAAAGTAACGCAGCGCCGTATCTCAAAAAATGGCCTGGTCAGGAAGGGAAGGGGGTAAATCATCTGGAGGGCAAGTGGTTAAAGAAACCATATCCTGTAGGCTGATGTCCAGGGTGACAGATTTTGGGGGAAGGGGCAGATCTCTGTTTGTTCCACTGTGCACACACAGGATCCAGCAATACAAGAGGAGTTTTAGCCGTTTTATTCTACAACATTCACACTTGGTTGGGAGAGGCAGCCAAGAATGTGCTTCCCTGCACTGATTACTGCAAGGGGGAGGGGGCAGTAATAACTGGACAAGGATTTCATAAATGTTCACTTTAGGCTGATTTCACACTGATCCGTTTTTGTTCAGTTAATAAAAAGCAGAAGAAAAAAACTGCATCCCTTTAAATCCTATGTACCTCTTCACACTGGTCTGTTGTGCTTCAGTTTTGGTTAAAAAAAAAAAAAAAAAAAATACTGCTTGATGCATTGTTGGTGCATGTGCGCATATGCATTTTGTTGCGCTTTTGCTTACTGTGTGTTTTTTAAAGGACATGTGTCTCAAAAACTGCACCAAAAATACATCTCGGGTGTGTTTTTTTTTTTTTTTTTTTTTTTTTTCTGAACAAACATGCTCCAAAAATGCTGCAAACAGGATTTGTTAAACTGCAACGGAAGCGCAATGCCCCAGTGTGAAAACATATATAGACATACAAAAGGAAGCATTTTTCATGAGCTTTTCTTGCGTTTTTTTTTTTTTTTTTTTTGTAAACAAAAACATGATTTGAAAACTCCTCTGTGAAAGGGCCCTAAATCAACACAGCAGATCGACCCTTCATTTGATCGATTGACCCTTCCTTCGATCAATCCTTGAGGAGGAGAGGTGTGGGCTAAAAAAAAAAAAAAAAAAAAAAAAAACCTGATCCATCAGACTCCCATAGGAAAAGCGTCTTACCTATGCTGATGTGACTTCTGTGAGATAACATAGAATTCTATGGGGCTGAAATCGCCCTGAAGTCCAAGTATAATGTGATTTCCCTTGTAATGGGATTTTCTGAACCACGGCTTGAAAATGTCTAAAGTTGCATTAAAGTTGCATCAATCGTGGCACTGGAAATTGCATGAAAATTGCATTAGAAAAATGGGAAGTAATATGGAGAAAATGCATTACAAATGCATCATGTGTTCAAAGTGGGAAAACGCAGCAAAATGTATATGCAGTAGGAAAGTAGCTTTAGCTGGCCATAGACAGAAACTCAGCCGGCTTGGCAGGGATTAGAATACAATAGCGCAGTAGGAAGGGTTCCTTCATCCACCTCAAATGTGTGGATCGGGGAATCCTTGTTTTTTTTTAATTCTCTCAAAAAAAAGAACCATCTATGTGTTCATGTGTAAATATGTAACCAAAGGAACATATGCATGGCGCTCAGCAATACAAATGCTGTACAGAGGGAACACAATGCAATTGGCAATGAAGTGGCAGTAAACATGAAGCAGGAGATCCGCAGCTGCAAGTAACTTTGATCAGTTTAGAACTGTCATTTGTGGCTGTACAGATCGAACAAAATACAATTGGCAATGAAGAGACTGTAAGCCCACGTTAGGGAATCCGCAGCTCAAAGTGAATATAAATCAATCTGAGGCTCCATGCACACTGGCTTAAGAAAATCCTGCTCCTAGAGGAGTTTAGCATTTTGCCTGTAGAAGCAACTAGTGTTATCCTATGTGTACATGCACATTAGGTAGTCTAGAGGCATTTTTTAAGCTCCGCATTAAGAGTCAGAAAAAAAAAGCCTTTTGTTCTGTATTTTTGAGAGCGTTTGTCCGGCAAAAAAAAATTGCTAAACGTTAATACACAAAATGCCCAAAATTGGCATTTTTTTTTAAGCTAGTGTGCATGGAGCCTGAAAATGTCAGTTTGTGGCTGAATACAACCACTTACAAGACCTGGGACTTAGAGTGTTACTAAACCCCGGAAACTGCATTCACTATATCTGGTCTCCCCCGGACCCTGCATTCACTATATCTGGTCTCCCCGGACCCTGCATTCACTATATCTGGTCTCCCCGGACCCTGCATTCACTATATCCGGTCTCCCCGGACCCTGCATTCACTATATCCGGTCTCCCCGGACCCTGCATTCACTATATCCGGTCTCCCCGGACCCTGCATTCACTATATCCGGTCTCCCCGGACCCTGCATTCACTATATCCGGTCTCCCCGGACCCTGCATTCACTATATCCGCTCTCCCCGGACCCTGCAGTCACTATATCCGCTCTCCCCGGACCCTGCAGTCACTAAATCCGCTCTCCCCGGACCCTGCAGTCACTATATCCGCTCTCCCCGGACCCTGCCGTCACTATATCCGCTCTCCCCGGACCCTGCCGTCACTATATCCGCTCTCCCCGACCCTGCCGTCACTATATCCGCTCTCCCCGGACCCTGCCGTCACTATATCCGCTCTCCCCGGACCCTGCAGTCACTATATCCGCTCTCCCCGGACCCTGCAGTCACTATATCCGCTCTCCCCGGACCCTGCAGTCACTATATCCGCTCTCCCCGGACCCTGCAGTCACTATATCCGCTCTCCCCGGACCCTGCAGTCACTATATCCGCTCTCCCCGGACCCTGCAGTCACTATATCCGCTCTCCCCGGACCCTGCAGTCACTATATCCGCTCTCCCCGGACCCTGCAGTCACTATATCCGCTCTCCCCGGACCCTGCAGTCACTATATCCGCTCTCCCCGGACCCTGCAGTCACTATATCCGCTCTCCCCGGACCCTGCAGTCACTATATCCGCTCTCCCCGGACCCTGCAGTCACTATATCCGCTCTCCCCGGACCCTGCAGTCACTATATCCGCTCTCCCCCGGACCCTGCAGTCACTATATCCGCTCTCCCCGGACCCTGCAGTCACTATATCTGCTCTCCCAGGACCCTGCATTCACTATATCTGGTCTCCCACAGTACACAGCACATGGAAATGCAATTATTTTAGTAAATATAAACTGCTAAATACCTTTTCTCATCAGCAGTATATAGCAGTCTTGTGACTTCTATCAGTGTCCAGCAGAGCATTGGTTAAAGCTTGTAGGAGGAGTTTTCTTTCTGCTCTTGGAGGATGCGGAACTTCTGTCTGGACAGTGCTGATTGGCCC